ACAATATTCTGGTGTGCACCCAACAGCTTCATCTGCTCTATCTCCCGCAGGAACTCTTCTTTTTGTTCTTTGCTCGAATCATCTAAACACAAATGATGTAGTTAAATTCCTATTTGCTACGAATAGAAGATTTTAAAACCAGATTCAAAAATCAATCGGCCATATATTAGGCTTTGCTTCAGTCACGGTCTGAGTACATTCCGACAGGAAATTCAATTGCGTTTCATGCTCAGGACTATCTGCTGTCCAATTTGGGAATAATGGGATATGAAAATAAAATAAAAACAGGCGACAGATGATTAGTTTTAATCATATTCACACCATAAAGGGAAATGGCTCAGTTTTGTCGTTCGTAATATCACCTTAAGCTTTAGACTGGAGAGACACAGCTTGCGATCTGATGGCAAAAGACCAAGCACGATCACCGAGAATTTAAAACTCTTTCAGATGTATTTTAAAGACACTGGACCTACCCAAGTTGTGTAACGATTCGCCCTTTTATACATGATTTTGCATGATGATTGTAATTACCTTGCAGTTCTTTGACTGCAACCACCTGGCATGGATTNTTAAAGACACTGGACCTACCCAAGTTGTGTAACGATTCGCCCTTTTATACATGATTTTGCATGATGATTGTAATTACCTTGCAGTTCTTTGACTGCAACCACCTGGCATGGATTCTCGGGCTTCAGTGTCTTTCCAGTCTCAAACACTTCTATTCCAACTCGTCTCTTTAGAGTTGCTTTGTAAACCACACCAAACGCTCCTCGTCCCAGCTCTTCCTGGTATTCTATTTGCTCGGGAAGAAGTTCCCACTTGTCTAGCGGGATAATTTCGCGAGCTGAACGAGTTGATCTGTGGAACGATGTGAAAATAGTTTAAGCACAAAAAGAGTTGTTATCAAGTAGTATAGCGCAGTATGCTACTATTTTAGCGAAATCTTGCTGTTTAAAAGATGAATGTCTTAGAGCTTGGCGATGGAACCCAGCCATTCTGCCTGTAAGTTCCAAATTCGATACCACGTTTTCTAATAGTAAAGACTGCAGTTAAGCATATACCATCGAAGCTGTCCTGTTATTTCCTCTAAATGACATGCTAGTCCATTGCAGGCTACCTTTGCACATTTCCTCAGGTTGACCTGGCACTTTGGCGTCATCCATTTTAAAATATCCCGAGCTTGAGAGATTCCCAAATATATTTCTTACTCAGGAACACAAAACAGAAACCCCAGCCAACGCACCAACCTGGACCGCTAGCAGATTTCGAGTCCAACGCGCAAAGTTCGTTGAGGTGCAGCAC